GGAAGGCGATGCTCCCGGGAGGCCTCGATAAGACGTTGGCAAGTTGCGATGTGGTCGAGGGTACTGAAGTTTCGACGAAAACCCGCTTGTTCTACCTGTTGAGCCTCTTCTAGGGACCTACTCTGGACCTATTCTGCCAGTACACAACGTGTGAATACTTTATAAACAACTGGCAGAAGCGTGATAGGACGATAGTCCGCTAGATCTTCTTTATTGCCCTTCTTGAACAGCACCACCGTCGAAGACTTCCACGCCGTTGGAACTGTACGCTCCGCCAGATAGCTCGATATAAAGGAGGCCCGCACGCTTGTAGAAGTTCCATGGAGATGCCTCTTCCTCAAACTCCGCCTGTTCTCTGCCTCATCCAGGAGTTTCCATCTTGCAAAATTGATGTGATCTTCAGCAATTCGTTGCCTACACAGCCTACCTGGCGAAGTGTACTCTACCTGGTTTTCCTGTCGATCCATATTTCTTCGCTTTTCGAGTAGTGCACGAGTAGAAGTAGAAGCAGAGATGCGACGAGAACTGTGGTTGGGAGCAACACTGCGACAGCTGTTTGCGATTGCGGTTACGGTTTGTACAAGGTTCTCGTAGACAGCGTCGATGCCATCCATCACTTCAAACATCTCTTCTTTTGCAAGTCTCGTGACCGCAGCTTCGTCCAGCATAGTGGGGCACGGCTGCCTTGAGCGTATGCGCGTCAGACTCATCAAGCCGCAATCGAGGTGAAAACGCCCTCGCAGTAAACGATGATCGCTCCCCGTGTTGAAAGAAGGGACAACCGCAACATCCGTCATGATTCTCCTATTGCACAGGATGTGGTCGATTTCTTGACAGTGTTGTCCATTCGGCGAGATATGAGTCCGGCCTTTCCGTGATGCCTTGAGGAACTGACTATTGCCATGTTAGAAATTATGCAGTTCACAAGAACTCGCTAATCTCTCCCCAGGCTCGTTGCGCTCATCTGCCGAAGTGGCCCGATGAAGACCTCGCCGTGCTTTCGTAATCCAACCCGGGCGTTGGAGTCTTCCATCACAACGACGTAACCACGTTGCTTACGCACGAGCTCCTCGAGTTGTTCGTAGAAGTTGTCATGTTGCTCTTCATCGCTGTCAGCTCTAGGCGCTTAAGCCTGTATGATGGTGACTTGCGAATCTCTCGAAAGACACGCGGTTATTATGGCGAACGGTGCTCATGGAACGTTACGCTCCTTACGTGCTTGGAGAAGTTCGGAGACACAAGAAAACCAACACCTCCTGACGTTGAATTCTTTTTTCGGGCTCCCAAGAACCCTGAAGTTCATCGGTCCAGGTGCATGAAAGAGGTTCCTTCCGCTTCGTCTCGCTCAAGCCGATTACGTGGTACTCAATCCGACCAGCTTCATCGATGAGTGCCGAAAGCTGAGCGGCCGAGCTGACGCTTCGACAGTTATAGGTGCAAGCTATCAGCTGACTCACTCTTGACCGTCTCCTTTGGTAGCCTATGACCCTGAGATTTCTTCGCCTTTGGCTGTGTGCTGATCCAGCGCTACTTGACTGGGCAGGGTCAGCCTGCAGGGGACTAAGACGAGGATAAGAAGTGGTCGTAGTAAAGCTTGGTCCCACAGGACAGGATAGCCTTAGGGCGCTCCTGTCGCTCAAGGAAAGCGCCGTCCCACCAAGAGCTTGGGCACTTGGGTTCTTTAGTCATGGGAGTCGGTATGGGATTTCGGCGTAACTCTATTTCAACGAATATTCCGACCTCGCCTCAAGCTCGTACACCACTGCAAGGTAGAACCCATGTACGAGTAATGTATGGGTATGTACGGTAATAGGCTTTGTAAAAGAATGCTCCTGAAATTTGACGTAGGGTGGAATATAGGTCTAAAATGACTACGAATGAAAGGATGTGACCGTCGTGTGTGATGGTAGACGGATATCACGACCACGGTAAAGGTGAGATGATAGGACATTGATGATGTCCAAGTGTGTATTGACGAGAACACCTATGCCACCGACGGTTCTGCTGTCCCATGTTCCAAGAAATAGTTTTCCCCAGTTTCTGAAATGGTCTGCAACGAGGGGTGTCTCCTCGTCTCGGACAGTCCGAAGACGTCGTACTCGACCTTCCCGGCCTTGCATTATTAGATCTTCTATACACGCTTCCGATGCAAGCGTCCGTATCGAAAGTACAGATCGCTATTCAAGTCCTTTTCCTTTTAGGCAGCCCGTTTTGGCCCTGGGTGATTTATTCATTGAAGGGGGTCTCGAAGCACCCCTTGGATACTTCCCAGTTACTCGAATGCAAGCTTTTGAATGGGTCGATGTGTAAGATATCATCTGCATCCACACACTCTTCACTCACGTAGGCATGGACACACCTTAAGATACAGAGGGTAAATTAGCCCAGCTTAGCAGGAACAGAGAGTCCATCCGCTGAATCCACGGCAAGTACCGTCGAATTCTGGTCCGCGATCCACTCCTCTATCAGCCACTTCGTACTATCGTCGTCAACCGGCTAGGATCCTCTCGTGAGAGAGAATCCTCAATGAAGGAGATCCGTAGAAAGATGCTATGTGTTCACTGAAATTCCGAATGATTGCTAGACAGTAAGCGAATGATTGTTAGACAGTAAGAATGAAAGAGAAAATAAGCAGCTTTTTAAAAATGGATTCGCCAACAAAGAGTCTTATTGCCGACCTGGGTGCAAATTGAGTACATTTACCGTTTCGCTCTTGATGAACATTAATCTAATTGACTCCACAAAATGTTATACATCAGATGTAAATGACTAAATGTCACAGAGAGTCATTTTGAACCTACCGGTTGTTGCTTTGTACCCTAAAGGGTATCAAGCCTGTCCGTGTCGCTCCATTGCTTTTATGTAACGATAACGTTGGTCCGACTTTTGTGTTCTCACGGCATTGAATTTAGTTGGTGAGCAAGGTGAGCAGGAAATCAGTGTTGTACAAACTACAGTAGCAACAACAACAGGCACATCTTTAGTGACAACTGTCGCACCAAGCCCAAGCAAGCCGTTGGTGAAGTGCATCAACTACTTCTACGAGTGAGTTTTTAAGCTCTTCTTCTTCCTTGAACACAAGAAGATATATTGGCGATGAAAGATTCATTGAAGAGCGAAAGCATAGCCTCTTCACCCATGATTAAGC